GTATAACATATGACTTATCTATAACATTATTTAGGACTATCTATGTAACTATATCTATCTAGTGTTATCTAATTATGTAACTAATTTCTCTATGTAACTTGCTATCTAGCTATCTATTGATTTATTTCTATATCTACAGTGATTCTCCACTAAATACACAATCTGCTACAACATTACTAACTCTCAAAGCAACTAACGGCAACAAGCTCAGTGAGTGTAAAATAAATACTTAACATAAAACATAAAAGTTATTACATATTTATGCCTGCAGGAAGGAGTGTTCTCTAAACAGAGTGACTAAACCATTCTGTTGCAGGGAAGCTCAGTGAACAGAATGTGACTGTCCTTCTTATACTTGTATAGCATACAACAAAGAAGACAGATGCTCAAACAGATAAAGGAAACGGGATACAATTTACAACAGGATACCGGCCCTTTGGTCCTAGGTCACATCTGGTTTGGCAACCACAAGGGCATACAAAGGTTTACGACCATGCAATAAACGGTCTGGGGTCACAACCACACAAATGACTGCATACCATGACTTGAAAGCATCAGCTAAGGAACTTAAAGGGTGCTATTATAAAAATTGCAACTACACTCTGCAAAGAAAAATTCAAATGAACGCCACTAAATAGGGATATCCTATCCCTGAACACACTCTATCCTGCAAAGTGATTCACCTGACAAACCGAACCAATCAGCTGATTTGCATGATGTCCGAGGCACTCAACTGCTTCAAACATCACTCAAGTGCTTCAAACGTCACTAGTCATGTGACCAAAACATGCCTCAGCACAGTGAGTGGTTCAATACAATTGCTTCATGAGCTACTGCGCATGTGTCGGAGCCTCTGGTGTCAGAGGACCATCACTAGGTATAAGTACCTGAAAATTGCACCTAGGTACAGCAACTCATTGATTGTACTTAGATTCAACCACTAATGTAAACAGTTTAAAGTGTTATCTGTCTGTCGGCCATTAGGGGGGAGCTGTCCCTAACATATTCCTATTTACCTGTACTTTCTTTATTTACATTGCAAATTGTACAGTACATTTAGAGTGCAGTATATAAAAGCAAAGAAAAATGTACACAACTACGCTATCTACAGCTTTCACTAATATATTTAAAAATCAGATTTTTGTCAATAATATACAAATAATAAAACATTATTATTTTTAATATTTTTACTATTATGGGAGTAAACAGGTGTTCCTGCCCTGTCCAGTGAGACACAGACTACAACCTCTGGCCCTTCAGGCAGCAGAAAGGTACTGTGATGGATAAAATTATGACTGACTAGTTTATTTACTTGGAATAGCTCAGGATGACTTAAAATTGATGTTTATGTCCAGAACAGAGCAAATAGGTAATGCTCAAACCCCATGTAAATGATTGTATATCTAGACTGTTATATTAGTGGCACAGCTGTATTTTCTACTGGAGTCAGTGAGTAGTTGTGCACCAGAGTTTGAATGATCCAGAGTCCATTTTGTCCTTTGATCCTTGTTAATGAAGTCAGCTCATTGTAGCAATTCTGTACATATGTGATTTACATTTGCATGTTGATGCCTGTCTGTCTGTGGTTCAGTTCCCCTTGGAGCTGTCATCTGGGTTGCTCGCCATCCATGTCAGTGTTGTATTTATTGGATGATGGAACTGTAGTCCACTGAGTAACAGTGCTATTTTTTTCTCATAATCATGGAAGAACTCCCTTTCACATGGCACAGAAGATGCTGGTGTCGCCAGGAACTGTTTGGCCAGGTTGAGCAAGTATGGGTACAGGGATTTGTGTGTTGTCCAGTAACCTAAGGGGTCCTGTGATCTGTCCAGAAGAGGAGCAGACAGATATCATGGAACCTCCACAATGGCATCTGTAGTATGTCCATGCAGATTCTCAGTCATCCAGGTCATAGTAAGCTGAAAAAAATCAACTGGACTAGGTTTCTAGGTTGAAGAAATTTCAACTCTCATCCAAGAGGCTTCATTAGTTGAAGCCTCTTGGATGAGAGGTTTGGATTAAGGTTTCGACCTAGAAACCTAGCCCAGTTGAGTTTTTTTTTTTGACAGCTGTAGTAGCGTTCTGAGATTTTCCCACATCTTCTGCATCTTTGTCCAGAAGCCTGAAAATAAAGCATTACAGGACATTTATAAAGCATTTAATTACATACAAATAAATATATAACTACAAATGTGATTAATGGTGTACCCATGGAAGCCACAGCAGGGCCTCGCTGTGCCGGTGTTGATGATATTGATGGTACATTGTCATGAGGTGCGTTTCAGATTAAGGCAGCACACTGACTTCAAGCGGCACACAGCTGTATCAGCATTCACTGGATTGTGAAAGCCAATCATTATAAGTATAAACAGTGTTTACCTTGCGTGACAGAGTGACACACACACACTACACTCACTTACCTGGCAGACACGTCATCCTGGTAGCATTAACAGGTTGACTGTTTTCATATTTGGCTTGGTAAAGTTCACTAATGTTTAGAGGACACTGGTCTTTGACACAGATTTCTTAGTTGTCAGACAAACATCAGCTGCCAGTCGTCAGTAATGAACGGCCTGAAAGGCCTGTTTTACTTAAATTAAGATCATATTCAAAATATCAGCAGGTTTTATTGACAGTGGAAGCAATACCAGGATTTAATGACATCAAACTATGAGTATGTAACTTCACGTTAAAGAATGGTGTCCTGTTGACAATGGAGAGAATTTCATGTCTAAATCTAGATTACTAAAGGTCTGAGGATCCAGAAATGAAGACTAACTGGAGGATGACTTGTATAAAACTGCAAAAAATGGAGTCTTGTAATGTTTTCCTTTTTATTTTTTTTAGATTAACAACTGAGGGAGACGCATGTGAAGTTAATTTATTGCTCAGTGCCTATAATGGTTAGATATTGTGTAGAAAGTTCTACATTCACGGTGGCAGTGGCCAGAGGATCCTGTCTCTGTTGGCTACACAAACAAAATGCTCCAGATGATCACCAACAATGGGAAACACATGCTTTACACTTTCTCTCTTCAAGAACAACTTGACACTACACCTCTTCTCTATTTCTCTATAAAGCTGTGGATGGGTACGTTCACCAGAACAATAGAAACAATGGTGTAATTTCATACAGGGATTTGTACAAAATATTCTCCATCTGCAGGGATGCTCTGGGTGGGCCTTTTTAGGATGGGGGGGGGAGTAGTTTATATTACTGTTATAGATCAAATTTGCATGGTCTGTTTTCATAACTTGAGGGTAAACAAAAATGGTAATTGGTAAAGTGAATGTTCCTTATAGGCATGATGGCGATGAACCCAGCAGTATGGCCTTTTCTTGGGACTTGCCACCAGTAATTCAGAGACAGCTATTGCAACATGTGGTGAGATGTATTTCAAGTCCCCCCCATTTTGTCTAATGCTGACATGGAACTTTGCAGTGTCCATTCTGCAAATATATGAAAGGATGATACACACAAGAAAGGTACCACCTTTCATCAAACATAAGTTGACTGGTGGCCACGCCCCCTTAGTCCCTCTCAGCCAATCAGAATCGTTCTTCCGGTCCTTAGTCCCGCCCATCCAATCAGCTTCATTCTTCCGGTTTCCGGTCCCCACGTGGTCCCTGGGAGTACCCTCCAACCCCCCTGCATCTGTTGATGAAGATAAGGAAGTCATGACGCATTTGCAGCCGGAGATCAGGGGCCTATTTCAAGAAGACGGTTTTGTCGAAACTCAGAGTTTGTTAACCCCGAAATGAGGGCAACTCGGAGTTTTCGGTTTCAGAAACGGAGGTAACTTAAACCCGTGAAGCGGGGTAAGTTAAACCCGTTTCACAAAGAGAGGTAATCTAAACTCAGAGTCAGTTACTACGGCAACTTACTCTGTCAACCTAACCTGCCGGGGAGCAGGTTTTGTTCGGGAAACTCAGAGTTTCCTCCGGGTCTCCGCCCCTTTTTAAAGTGAAAGGTGTTTAATACCTCATTTAATCTTTCAGTACATTCATAGATTGCACACGTTTCCGTCATGCAGAGACCAAAATGGCGTGTCCATTCATAGAGGATCCTGTAGAGGAGGACGCTGTATTAATTCGCAGGGAATTGCATTTACGTCGGGAGAGGATATTGAGGCCACAAGTTGATTTTTTCAAATGGCAGTTTTCTTTATAACATCGGGGATGCAGAGCACATTAGTAAGGCCACTGTATGTAGAATAGTTCGGAAAGTGTGCCTCACCCTCAAGCGCTTTCTGTTATTTTTTGTTGTGTTTCCTGGGCACAAACCCCTCAGAGCCATTAAAGAGGAGTTTCACAGGATTGCCGGTTAGTGGTATTGAATTCGTTTCAGTAAGGCTAATCTGACAAATGATGATCAGTTAATAACATCTTGCTGTGACCTCTGGAAATAAACTAATAATTAGAATCCCCTTCAGGATTTCCAAATGTGGTTGGATGCATTGATGGAACACATATTCCCATCAATGCACCTTCTGAAAATGAAGGGGACTATGTCAACAGGAGGTCCATCCACAGTATTAATGTGCAGGTACACTGACTATTCTTTCTAATGGTCAAAGACTACATCACAATACTGCACCTGACATGTATCATTTTCTGCACCGCCAAGATCATATGTAATGCTGCACATATACATATGCATATATGCATACGAACGTGGAGGCCAAGTGGCCCGGCTCTGTTCATGACTCACGAATATATCGTGAGTCAACCCTAAGTAACAGGCTGCAATGTGGTAAGTACATGTATGCCCTATACACTTATTTCAATGCATGCACTACACACTTACAGGAGCACTTCTATGCAGCACTAAAGTGATGTGAACTTTCTTATAGGAGAGATTGATGGCTTTCTGCTGGGAGATAGGGGTTACCCATGCCAGCCCACACTGATGACCCCTTACCCAGAACCTGCAGCAGGCCCCCAGCAGCGCTTTAATGTGGCACACTGCAGAACAAGAGCCCGGGTGGAAATGACCATAGGCCTGTTGAAAGCACGTTTTCATTGCCTACGTCACCTCAGGGTAACACCTGAGAGGGCCTGTGACATTATTGTGGCATGTGTTGTTCGCCACAATATTGCAATTATTAGAGGGGAGCAACACCCTGCCCTACAAATACAAGACCCTGAGGACGACCCCATCCACCCTGCAGATAACCAGGATGGAAGGGCAGTCAGAGATTGGATATGCCGTAATGTCTTCTGGGATTAATCTACAACCACCACCATCACCACCGATGAAAGACAGAAACGGAATAAATGCAAATCATACTTTATTTGGGTTTCTTCATTTCCTACAAATACAAAAGCAATTGTTAGGTTTCACAATTCATTCAATAATTCATACAATTCACCTGTAACTATACACTCACCTCTAGCTTTTGTTTGAGAATTTCAATTTCGAGATCTGTCTTCTCAATCAGGCGGTCCATGTATAACATTTTTTTAATAAGATGCATTTTATACAACTCCTTAACTGGTAACTGTAAATACAGA